CCTGCTGGGATTATCTAAGCTGCAGACAGAGGTACCTTTGCTGTCTGGCAGTGTAGTGACACAAACACAAATGATGGTCTCAAAAAATGCTATAAGTGACAGGTAAAATTATGTAAACTCATCGTGGCAATCACAGCAAACTTCTCACAGTCAGGATGAACAGACCACAGAAATTACCTAGTCTTTAAGAGCTGCTACAATGTCAGCAACACACTTGGTGGGAATATTGGCTAATGGGTATATTCTGCATATATCATTCCAGGAAGAGGGAAAAATGGAGACTGAGCAAAACTCTGCCTCCAGTCACTGGAAACACAGACTCCTGCTACACTTCCTAGTAGAGAACAGAAGAAATCCTAGTGGTAAAATTCCCATGTGCGGAAGACACAGTGCTGCAGTTCACAGAGAACTTTCACCTAAGGTATGAGAGCAAAGACCCTCATTCATGTACTTTAAAGGCCAAGAGCAAGACAACAGAGCATTAGTTGCTGTGGGATGGAAAGCACTCATCTAGACCACTGCACTTAAGATACAAGTCATTCAGCTAGTACTTAAACATAATGAATAGCTGCAACATGCTGCAGTTTCAGATTCTGAGGTGTTTTGCCAAATGCTGAATTTCCTCAAAATAAATCAATGATAACAGCTTTGCTATAATTTGAAACTGTTTCTCTAACTGATCACCAACAGCTATCCATTCTCTTTTCTATTGGGTATAAAAATAGATTTTATTGCTTTCAAAGAGGTTTTCCAGTTTGAAAGAGATACCATCAAACCTAGAAAAGACCCATCTTTTGACTTGCTGGACTGGAGGAGCATTTGTAAAACAAGATCCTGCAAAATGCTCAACAGCTTCATCTTTCACAGTCTATAGGTCCTGTGCCTTCTGCACCATCAGAAGCAAGGGGCAGGAGTTGTCTTCAAGCCAGGTGTTATGACAACTGCTTTCTTTTTAACGTTAAATTAATATTGCAAGAGCAGAAGTAGATGAAATGGGTATTAGACTCTAATAAGCAACAACAATTTATTTACACTGTTAAGGTGAACCAGTGTAAATGTCAATAAAACAAATATCTTAGTAAAATATACCTCTTTTTTTTTCCCCTCCCGTGAAAGAAAACTAATTCATCACAACCTATTATTTCAAGATATTCTTATTTTAATTGTAATCTTATTTTACCCATATAAAACTTTCAATAACTGCATCTTCTCCTTCAATGTTTTTCTGTCCCACTTAGATTTAAAACACTGCTAATAATCACCATATCCCACCTGAGTACTTAGGTGTACAGCCCAGGCCAAAATAACCTCCCTTACCTTAAAAGTAATTAAACTATTTAAAACTTACAACTAGTTAAGTTATTTTTTATTTGTTTTTTATTTATACCTGCTCCACTTGCCAGAATTTTGCAGAGTAAGGAAACAGCTCTGCAAATAACCTCCATTACTTTAAAAGTAATTAAACTATTTAAAACTTGCAACTATTTCTTTTTTATTTCAGTTTTTAATATCCGATCCATTTGCCAGAATTTTGCAGAGCAAGAAAACAGATCTGCAAATAACCTCCATTACTTTAAAAGTAATTAAACTATTTAAAACTTACAACTATTTATGTTTTATTTCAGTTTTTATTTCAGTTTTTTATATCTGATCCATTTGCCAGAATTTTGCAGAGCGAGGAAACAGATCTGCAAACATTGTTAGCTAACAGGTGTTCAGACAAAAAAAACCTCCCGATTTATTTGCCATCCACAGAGGGACTAGAGAGAACTAATTGCTCTTCAGCAACAGCTAGCTACCTAGTAACCCACACAGTAGACTAGTCAGGTGAACTCCTAAGATGCCTTTTATTGCTTGACTGCCTGCTCTCCCAACATCTACATGGGGTCACATCTGTAACATAGTGGGAGATGGGCAAAATGAAGCACCACCAGCAAAAACTCCATTGCTATTAACCTGATGTTGCAAATAAAAAGGGATGTTAGCACTCAGAAAGGGTTAGGGAAGGTTAAAGATACCAAGTCTGTAACTAGGGTAAAAAAGTACCAGTTCATTAAATGCTGACCATGATTTTAAAAAAAAAAAAATTAAAACAATCACAAGGAAGTTTAAGCACTAAGGTCAACAACACAGTACAAACTTTTGACTATTTTAAAAATTTAAAGAAGAAATATTAATTACCAACCTTAATGCCAAAGTGTAGGTTCCAGGTTGCCGTTGGCTTTCACGAATGAGATAGCTTCCCTCTGCAACACTTAATAATTGGTCAGCTTCCTCCCTTGAGATCATCCCATGGAATCTGAGGAACAAAGACTTTTTGAAACACACGCCGTTTCACTTTTAAATCACCTTTTCCTCTTCTTTTAAAAAACACCAACCAGCGGTAATTAAAAAAGAAACAAACATAAAAATGACTGATTTGCAGTATTCTACAGCTTAAATTAATCTCCCTTTCTGCCTGCATTTGAAGTCATTTTAAATGGTTTAGAAAGTTTTCTATGAAACAATATCTATGAAACAAGTATATAGCTTTTTAATTCTGCATCTAACAATTTAATATGTAGAAATAAATCCATTTTCTGGTGGCTTCACATGTTTTGTGCCAGTGGCATGCACTTCAACATTTTGCAGCATTCAGGGATATTATGGCAACTTGCTAAAATCTTGGGGATTGCATATAATCTCAGTAATTACTGGTATAATAACCTAGCAACACTACACATCTTTTACCAAAATAAACACAAATAAGATCCGCTTTGTTTCCCCACACCACATCTAACCATCTTTGCCTTAGCAGTCTGAAATAGAAGACACATACATACTGTACACTTGTATTGTCAGCTTCTCACAGAAGCCAACCCTGTACTCCCACCCCCCCCCCCCCCCCCCCCCAAACACCTTTTGCAAAAGCCAACTGGAAGGGGAGGTAGACAGAGACAACCCTTTGAAAGTATAGAAACATGTTTTTCTCACTTAAGGTAGCACTCAATGATACCCATATCCATCAGAAAACGCAGCTGTAATTTTAGGCAGACAAAATTGATGGTATTGCAATAATAATCTGACAGTGAGCGAGACACACTGCTGTAAAACACACAGGAGAAACAAAGGGCCCAGAGCAAAAGCTTGCAAGCTCTTCTGTAACTATTGTCAACCAACATGTTCAAATAAACCAAAGATCTATGTTACTTACTCTCTTCCATAATATTTGGGTCTGTTCTCTACCTAGAAGAAACAACAGAAACTGTAATGTTTCATAACAAGTGAACCCATACAGTAAGCATACTGTCTGTAATATAGTATCAAAAATAGAAAGGGATATAATGCGAAAGCACAGACGAAAATCATCTACCATCCTGGGATTTTCCCTGTTGGTGGAATATAGGGAAACCAAAGGTAGACCTTTGGGAAACATTGCACTTCTGAATGGCTTAAAACAAGGTGAGAAAGAATGAGCGGCTTGGATCACATCATCCTCGGGGCTTGGCTCTGCTCACACAAACTGATGGCATTAAGTATTGCTTGTACAAACTGCCAAAAAGGGGAAACAAAAGATTCGTTTCATGGGTGTAAGTGTGTTATATTGTTAAGCGCACTAATACAGTGAAATACCTATAAAACTCTTAAATTTACAAGTTATCTTCCATCATAAAGCTGTTGGTGCCACTGCTGCGAGAAATTAAGCCACTACCATATCCCCTCAGAGTGAGGGCAAATGGTAGATTAAACGATCATTAGCAAGTGCCTAAGTCCTGCACTCCTTGACTTCACTAAACTGTGATCTGTAGTATCACCTAAAAGACTTCAACAACAGGTGTGCATGTGTTATGCTGTGTAACACAAGCCCATCCACGCTCTAGAGACCATACGGTGTAAATGCACACAACATGCAAGGCTGTCAGAACACAATTTGTCTGCTACGTATTTCAGACAAAGTAACTCCTCTGCAATTGTCCAGGACGCTTATAGACAAATGAAGAACTGCAGACCTCCCCGAATCAGCTCAAAAATCTAAACCACCAGATTATCCCTCCTTGCTAAATTTAAAGGAGGAAACTCTTTGGGGAGTAAAATTCAACAACTATACAACCTGAACTACAAGAGTATAAAATGATCTGGCTATAATAAAACACAAAGTACAGTAAACTGCCACTTCAGTTTCTTTTTTCCATCTTTTCAGAAAAAAAAGCTATTAAAATTAGCATGTCTCTGCAGTCATCTCAGTGCAGTATAAATAAAGATTTCAGATGTCCAAGACAACAAAAAATACATCCTGGTGTACAGTCTAATAACAACTCTTCACATTCCCAGTAAATAAAAAACTATTGTGATGGTTCATCACTTTTGAAAAATCATCCCATCACTGGAAAGATTTATAATGTTCTAAAAGGTTTCCTTTTTGTACATAACAGCAAACAAGAGCTGACCACTGTGATAACTGCTTTCAAAGGGCCTGAAGAGACTGGATCATTTCAAAAAAGAAAAAGTCCTGCATATATTTTGTTAAATGTAGGCTATTTCTTCAATAGAAAGATAGCAACACAAATGGAGAAAAAGTGAAAACATTTTATTGTTGTTATTATACAAACTTGCAACAATTCCTAGCTAAAACCCTCAAGACAAGACACTAGTCTCAGACAGTTGTTAAAAAAAAGAATCCTGTGGTGAGTAAGATTTTGTTGTCTGTCTATTGAGATTTTATATTTACCTTGGTGAATACAGTGAATTTATATGACAGAACTGGAAAATTTATATAGGCAAAAGCATTCCATTTCAGAAATGGATTAGTAATGTGACAGGACATCTTCAGAGTACTTGCAAATCCTAACACAAATTACGGTATTATACTCTGTGTGCAAACATCTGAAAATGTGAACTGGCAGATGACTGGAGCAAAGCATCAGAGAAAAGCTCCACTGGACTTCCAGGCAATTGTAGCTGGGTTTGCAGTTCATCTTGGTGGATGATGAGCTAAAGAGGAGAATAACCAGTTCTGTTAACATTGAGTCTCTACTGGTCAGTTTTGCCAACTTGCAAAAACTTCAGCATAAATGTTGATGTGTAACACCGTTGGCTTGTATAAGACTCAGTACAACTAGAACCCCAGTTCACCCAGTTTTATTGCCTGTTTTTCGGTGCTTTGGTTTTTTCCATAACTTTTAAAATTTATGATAATATTAGGGTTTTTTGACACCTAGATAGAATGCATACATATAGACTCTAAGGCAACTCCATCAAAACTCAGCAGGGGTCTTTTAATTCACTCAGAATTAACTGGGCTACATACACACTTAGGGTAGTTCATGTGAACTTACTAAAACACACAGATTACCCGTAAGCCAAATTTACATGTAAGACGATAAACACTGTTCTCCAGCTTCCTATAATGCTTCCTACAAGTATCGTGACATCAACTTTACTCAGAGCAACTTAGGCATAAAAGGTGGTGTAGCATTTGTTCTTACTATAGGTGTCCTTAGCTGCACCAGGACTAGAAGAAACATGCAGCTTTCTTGGTCTTTTGAGGCTGTCTGGACTTCACAAAGTTCCTGCCAGACTGTATTTCTACAAATTACAGCTGCAGGCACCCACGTATCCTCCAGTTGCATTTGAGCACTGAAAACCAAAACAGTTCAGTTCAGAAGCTTCATTAGTCTAACTCTCACACTCAGCCAGCCTTAACTTAAGGAGACAAAACCAAAACATCCATCTGGACTGGAACTAAAACCCACCTAAGAAAGGAAATAAATTTTTAAATGAAATCAAAGCAGTAGCAAGAAAGCAGTCATTTTAACTAAAGCTGTTAGCTGAAAATACAGTGTAATTATCCTCTGCAGAGTTTCTTTCTGATTTGGCAGTATTTTTGGACTCATCATATTGTTGAGCAGAAGTAAATGTAGCCTTAGCTACTTCATTTTCTCTGTATCCAAAGATCAGCTGAATGCTAAGTCTTTTGACTTCTCAGGACTTTTTATTTATGGGAAAAATTTCCTATTGCTGTTTGTTTAGCCTATGTTTAGCACAGTTTTAAAAATTGCTTCTAACTCAGAAAAAAAAAAAATAATTGAGAGATATTTGTTTTCAATGTGCTTATTTGTATAGCACTGATGAAGAGGCCATAGGAAAGGTTCAGGTGTCACTATGATACCTGCAAGAAACACAAAAGTCAGTGAGATACCCATCATTGCTTTGTTTCTGTTTTTTTCAAACTGAGGTGTGAAGCCAATGAAACCAAGTTTATGAACAGATAAATAGGGCAGATTTGGCAAGTACCTTGGCACAGCCATTCCTTTGGAAAAGAGCTTAGTTACCATGAAAGCTGGGAAGTCATTCTGGGTGAATATCATACAGATAAAGCTATCTTTGAGAACAGCTCTTAACAAGGATGTGTATTATATATGCCCAGTCTATGCCATGTTTCTTGACTACTCACAGAAGCCATTTTTGCAAGGCTACATAGAGATGCTGTTTAACAGCCTTGTTAACTACTAGCACTGAATTAGGATGAAGCCTTGTAATAGGATGGAAAAGGCCAGTGATTTTAATTATCTTCATCATTTGTTTGATATTTTTTCATACATAGTTATTTAAAATTTATCATGGAGTGCCTTCATATAGCAGTCAAGGATGCCCTAAATATGCCTGCATGCGTGCACATGCGTATATAAAAGATTATATACCCAACAAATACAAATTCCAGGGAGGTCATACAATATTAATTGGACAAACAACATTACAATTTGGATGTAAGCCTCATGCAGAAGTCAAACATCCCTAGAACGTTATGGAATCATCAACTTTACAAGTGAACATCATACAGCGTTAAAAGCTTTGGCTCTGCTGCACCTTCACAATAAAAAATCCCAAATGAATGCAATGCTCTTTTTACCTCAGCGTAACTCCACTGTGCGTTGCTCTGATACGAAACTGGTGTAACAGAGCAGAAACTCAGATTCTCTGTATTTGAAAAGCATTTTATGTTAAGTAGGTCATTCTGCTGAATACACCTCTCAGTATCAGCACTTGTACAACAGGTGCCTTTGCACCTTAAATAAAAGGTTGGGTTTTTTACAGTGTGATTTCCAATTATTCTTTAACAAGTGCTTTTTCCCCTAATCATCACTCTTGCTTATGTCAACAAGTGGAATACAATAAGGCAAGAGGAGCAATTTACATGCTAATACCTTACCAAATTACATGTTGTTCCCTCCCACTGACCCCTCTGATGTTCTCTGGACCAAAATCCTCTTCCTAATATTTATGAATTTGTTTATACAGCTGAATAACTTAACCACTTAGGAAAAGATTCTGCTCCCCACTGACTCACGCATGGCTAATAGAAACCCAGCTGAGAAAGAGCAGATCACAAAGCTCAACACTAGCAGGAGAGGCTGAGACCAGAGAGAAAGGTTAAACACGTTACTGCTCGCTGAATATATTTTCACTTCAAATCTGGCTCAGCTGCATAAATTGTTCAATACTTATAATGAAAAACACTTACCTGCATTATAACGAATTAATGCAGAAGTAGGAAAATGCACACTGATAATGTATTCTTTCAATTTTACCTTTATTAGGTAAAAATAAGCTTCAAAGAGCTTTTTTTTGGTAAATGGATTCTTTAATGAGAAAATGTATATTTAATACATTCTGTTCTGCAGCTAAACACCTGCAACTGACTGATTCGTTCGTAGCTCTATTTTATTTAGTTCAATTCTCACTAGTTTCTAAAAACTGCAGATTTTATTTCTCTGTTTCTACAACAATGTTCATAGTGCAGACACAGGTTTACTCTGCAGTTCAGGGGCTGGGATGAAGCTCTGTTAAAACACAAAATGTCTCTCCTCTTTTTTTGTTCCCTCTGGCACAGGGAAAGTTTTACACTTACTTAAAGTTTGTCATATGTTATAATCTTGTTTTGGAATAAATTCCTAGAAATATAATAGACACTAATGTGTTGCATTTCTTTCTTCAGTGATGACAGGATTTAGCAGAGCATTTTGACTGCTTGGGGTACTTTTGCCAACCCATTGACTCTAACAGACTAACCTGTTCATAGAATTAGACCTGGAGGATCTCTCTACGTAGGGATGCAGTACGCTCAGATAACCTCCAAAGTGCTTGAATGATTAGTTCATGCAAGACGCCACTCACCCACAGCAAATCTTCCTCCCTAAAACAGTCCAACTTTTCAATTTGCCACCTGTATAATAGCTAATAAAATTTTGTAATTAACAGTATTAAAATTCAGTCATAACAAGGATGAGAAAATTATAGTGGTCAGTATGATTCATATTTGAAGAAGCTTTACACAGATGCTTTTATATTTGGCTGGCAAGAGTAGGTCTCTTGGTTGATTCTAAAAAGAAGGCAATCTAGATCTGATCAGTAGCTGAGTGATTTCCAGCACTCCAGAGGCAGGAGACATTTTTAATTTTCAGATACTGTATACACATTTATATGTCTGCTTATTTGACTGGATAGCCTAATAGTATTCTAAGAAACTCTATGAAGGAGAACTTAGTGTAAAATGTGCTTGTGACTTCTTATTACCTAGGGCAAAAAGACCTCAAAGCACTTCTCTGCAGTCAAACTAGCATGGGATATAATGCCAACAGATCTTATTGAACATGCTGGACCCCTTTATCAGTTTACAGTTTCTCCCTGACTACATGGTATGTATGCATTTTTCAGTCAACATGCAAAACAATTACAATCATTATGTTATCTGTTGTAAGATTTCCTTCACTGTGCTGGTACTTTCCCAATCCTTACATTCCTATTGGGGGTGGGGGTTGTTAGTTTGTTTCTTTTAAAGAAACCAAAAGGTATGTAGAAAAATGAAGGTTCTAATTCTGCAAGAATGAAAACATTCACAACTGAGACTCTCAAAGCATCTAACTGAAGAACTTGAAGAATTGCCACTCATCACTACAAGAGCCAGGCAACTTTATAAGCATACACAGTAAGAAGTTCTGTCATTACGTGAGTAAACCATAGCAGGGCTCTGAGATAAGACTCAGCAAATAAAAGACTACAGTGATCGTACAGGTGTAGTGTCAGCAGGCTACAAAAAATCCTTCATACATTTTACAGTATGCATATATACATATATGTACACACATACTAGCACTTCTTCCACCAGTGAAATACTTTTGAGGAGAGGAAGGAAAAAGCAACTATTCAACAGCACTTAAACACAACCCATTGGAGGAAGGGAGTAAAATACTTCATCCTATCCAGGTAAGCACTCTGTACAATCACAAACCTGTATTATAAGACTAAGCTCCTACAAGACTTCAGATATTTTGTATATTAATGTAATGAAAAATCCTATCATAAACACACAAAATATAAAAAAACTTCCTAATAATGTTGCAATGGGAATAAAAAATGGGAAAAACCTTCCTTTTTTTCACAGCTCAGATCTTATCTTCTACAGATCTGTCTTTCAAATCTCCATCCCACCTTATTTGATGTACATAAGATATCTGCACAACAACCTTAACAAGAATACCCCTGCTTGGACCCTCAATAACAGTAGAAACACTGGTTAAACCAAAAATTTTGCTACAATGCTTCTTGTAAAATTCATGTATTGTTCTTTCCTATAGCTATGTCTTGCTTAAGTGCAATCAGCTATAGCTATACCTTTTATAAAATACAAATCTATCAAATTAACAAAGGAAAACAAGAGTGCTTCCACTAAATGCAATATTTCACTACTGTTAAATCTCTACTTTTTATCTGAAAAATTGACAGACTACTTCATAGAACCACAATTGGACATTTGTAAAGATGACAAAGAAATGCCTGTTTAATTCTGTAAAGTAATCCTCCTTGTGATCTAGACTGTAAGCTATTAATGTTCCTGACAGTGCTACGTCCCTCCGTATTTAATACTACGTCAAAGTGACTACCATATTTCAAAGATTAATTTCCTTTCTCTTGGCACATGATAAAAATGCTTAAGTTTTATTGCAGCAGTATAATAACTTTCAGTGGTTACTCAGTAAGAGCTGTGTTTTGTAATACTGCTTAACAAGTCAAGCCTAACATTTCAGCATTTTTGAAATTGAAATTAATGTTTCCTAGGTTCCTATCTGAAGCTGCAAGAGAGATGCAGTTATGAGTAAAAATCTTGCTGGTATGGGTGTCTGGCATCAGTTAAACCCTCCAGCACCACAGCTCTGGAGAGGTGCTGCTCTGCTGGATGGCAGCTCAGGGCACACTAGAAATTGGGGGTCTGCCTCAACAACTGACCCCATCAGCAGGTGCGTCTGTATCACTGTATATCAATGGGATCCTGTTGTTACTGTTTGGATCCTTTAAATCTGTGGCTCTGCATAGCTTAGCTACTAGTATTAATGAGTCTTAAGTACTACGACTCAAATAACAGCACCAGGGGAGGTTTCAGTCTTCCCTCTGTTGATTTATTGCATGCACCTAGCAGCGATGTGTGTACAAACAGGTGCATAGTTCCCCTGTACAGCTCTGCTCTTGCTTCTGTGAATTTCTGACCCAAAAAGGAGGAGAAAAGGCATGTTTCCATGTACCTAGGAATCAAAAAAACAGTAAATGATTCTCGGGTAGACATATCAAACTCAAAATGCTTTTTAATTTGATTTTTAGATCAAATGGATTTCTAGGTACCAGTGCCCCCAAGGCCACTTACTCTAATCACAGCACCAAGTGTCCCAAGGAACTGCTGTTTGGGTTGGACACCATTAAGTATACAGTTGGAATTACTGGACTTTATAAAACTGAACCTTTATAATACCCACCTCACGAGTGCAGGTTATCCTTCTAGGATGGGGAGCTTCCTGTTGCAACTGATATACTGGGAAAAGGCAGAAGTTAAATTCTGATTAATACAGAATCATTCTATAAGTTAGGCATTTTAACATTAAATGTTGCTGTTTAAATAAAGAAGACTTTCTGCAAGATTTAATGCAAGGATACATATATCAAGGTCTCAAAAATTACTTACAAGTGGTCAGAAAAAAGAATGTTGCTAGCCAAAATGGGATTATTGATTATCTTTACAATTAATTGATCAAGTACTAGGGAGTAACTAGGTGAGACCAGTCAAGTTTCCACCAAGCAGATCAGAAAAGGAATCATGATAAATGCAAATTAAATTTTATTATATGTCAAATCAGGCTGCTGTCAGACTTTCTTCAGTAAGCAGATGCAGTCCCATACTACTACGCTGGGCACACAGTCACCTGAAATACATCAAGACTTTACAAGAATCATTCAGAACTTTGCAGAATCAATCCCTCTGCTTTTGCCACTGCTCAGTGATGACCTTTCTGAACAAAGAGGAAAAAGGCCTTTGCATTTGCAGATCTAAAGACATCAGGAGTTGAGTAGCAGAGTGAAACAGTTAAGGCCCAAATTACGACATACACTTACTAGCACCCTCCCTCCCCCTTTTTTTTCTTTTTTTTAAATAAGCCTCATCAAGCCAGAATAAATCTTAGGAGCCAGTTGTAAATGTAATGGTACTAATGTGCAGACTTTCTAATATAATACCAAAGGAGTGACTTTCAACTCCTATCCCAAAAAGAGTTTGGTTTGGCAAGTCACCTTTAAAATGGCTCTGTCAACACTAAGTATTTGAATAGTACTCTAGAACTGATAAAATGGACATTTGGAATTGTAATCTTTTAAAATTAAATTATGTTTCAATCATTAGTACTAACACCAAGGTCTAATAACATGCGCTGTCACCTCCTTCAGATAATAAGACCATACATTGATTTAACCAGTAAGATTTGACTTCACTACATTTCTCATTTCATCATGAGTCCTTTCCACTGACAAATGCTGTATTTATGTGCCAAGTCACATGCGAATGGAGACAATGGCAAGATGCCTGAAGATATAGCAATCATAAGATAAACTGGAAAAATTAACTTCCTTTGTTCCAAACAAAAAACCTAATGGTTTTTCCTGACATTACTAAAATCAAATCCTTACCATTCTGTACCGGTATTACACAAATGATTTTTGCAAGTGATGAAGAACAGCACACTAGTATATAAAACAGTAATTTTAAATACAAGCATAGCATGACCATTTATTTTGCCAGCATACAGATTCCCTAGCTTCTGTTGTAAAAGTTGTATTTGATGGCACTGTGCCTTGTCCATAACTAATTCTGAGAACTGTAGAGTCAAGTTCAAAGGAAAAAAAAAAAACAAAAAAAACCCAAACACAGAGCAAATATGGATTTCTCTGAATTTCACAGAAGACCAGTGGAGACTCACAATCGGCATGCTCTGCAGGAATTGGCTAAAAACTGAGAACTGTTTCCCACCTTGCTTCAAGCCAGGCTGAAAAGATTTTCTGGAAGGAAATTCGTCTTCTCCAAAGGCAGTACCTTTCTCCTTTTCCAGTCAGAAGCACAGCAGGCAGACTAGTTAAGTTACAAAACAGGATGCCTATCCCTCCTCCTCTAATTGATGTATGCAATTCAAACTGTTCAGCACCAGTTTCCTTGCTGTAATTATGGCCAAGGAAGTCAAACAAGACATTCCTTTTCATCCATCATGAGACAGAAATACAATCAAACCCCATGCCTCTGCGCTTAATTCTGAACCCTGGGAAGAGTTCACCACGGTGAACCATGACAGTGTAGTGGGTGCGCGTACATTTGCACGCACCCAAGCCTTCAGCTCCTGGCAAGCTGCCAATGAAGATTTGGTGTTAGAGAGGCTGGACCCCCCTGTTATAGATTATGGCATGGAATAAACCGAACAAAGAGGCAGTGAGGCAGTGTTCCCTGAGTTCACAGAAGGTACAGAGCTGTGATTCACTGTTACTGCTTACAACGGGGAGCAAAATACACAGATCTCAGTAACAAGTATTGCAATCATGACTAATGATGTTTAATACCAAGGAGCAAGGTGTCTCAGTTTTATCTTTTAGCCCTCCGCTGCAAGAAAAAAGCTTGTTCAAATCATTCTGTGTGCAAATTACTTAATATTAAGTGGCTGGCTTGGCATATGACAAGCTACTGGCATAATAAATGATGATTCAAAAGGCACAGACAGACTTTGCTACCAGATTCACAAACAGACCAAGGTCCCAGCCGTCCCAATTACATGACAGCAATTGCATATGTTGGCAATTATTAAAAATGGTTCAAAGTCATCCACATAAAGAAAAGACTGAAGATGGACAAATTAAAAGTCTTCAGCCTTTTTTTAGACTTGTTGCCTTTCTATTTTCTTCAATTAACATAACTGTATTTTAAGAGACCCTGATATTCCTAGACTGTTAAGGCATATGCAGTTTTGCCACAATTTTTACTACAAATTTCACAATATCTGACTATTTACTTACAGCCTAAGCTCTTTGAAATTTCTTATGAGACATTTTCTCATTTACAGAAGTAATCTAATGCTCATATTGCATAGAAGATCTTGACTATGTAACTCATGATCAGTTTAACAACTCAAAAATTGGAAACCAAACCCAAACAACAAGGCTGATTTACGAGTTTTAAGGCCAAACTGTGATTTTTTAATGCGTCAGGTTGGCAACGGCAGGGACAGAACAGAAACAACTGACCTCTGTGAGCCATTAACAGAATACTGGTCTGTGTGACAGAAAAGCTGTTTTTCTAGTGCTCATTTAATTCTACTCTATATACTTTAGCTGACAAAAATACTTTGATCTACTCTTTTACACTTACTCTCTTTCTAACCCTGTTTTTCATGAAGGCTTTAAGACCAACCCAAAATCTCCAATTGTAAAGAATCTCCCACTGCAGGATGGAAACCTGTTTGAAATAACTACATTTTCTCAGGTGCTACATCTCCCCAACCTTTAGAGAATAACATTTTCATCATGTGAAATGTTGCTTGAGCAAATCCTTTTAGCCAGCCTGAAGACACCAAGCCTTAGGAATATATACAAAAGAAAATGCAAATTTAGGTTTGACAACACTAAACTGTTAAGTGTGTTAAACACACAAACATTCTGCTTTCAAAATCTGCTTTTAAAAGAAGACTCTTCTTTCTTGCTGTGGTTCCTCAAGTCTCAAAATGTCTCGCACCTTAGCTTTTCTATCTACAGAGAACTAGAATTTAGAGGTGAGACACTGTGGGAAGCTATGATGCTTTGCTACAGTGCCATTTGTCTTGTGTTCTCTTCAATCTCCCTGAAACTCCACCAGCGCTTCCAAACAACAGGTTATTCCTTTACATGGAATTTTTCTGTATTTAAAAATTTAAGGTTGGTTGTGTTTTGGTTTTTTTGTTTTGGTTTGTTTTTTTTTGGTTTTTTTTAAATTGGGAATGAAAACCAGCAAGTTGTGAAATTCCCAAGGCAGTGGTGCTCTGATCCCAGGGCAATGTGCCTGGACTACTGCCCTGCACACCTGACTGAGGCAGCCTGCAAGGCCAGCTTCCTCTGAGCTAGGGCACGCACACTGAAAAACTGCAGAGCCTAGGCAGGCAGACTGGTAAGAAACCGGACCCTTCTAGTCAGGGCTTCAAAAAACCTGCTTGTGATTTGTCATGCCAGGCCAAACAAATGCTCTCATTTTACTACATCAGCAAATTTTGGGGGAAAATTATTTATTTTGAGTTTTTTTCTAACCAGCTCAAGTCTCAACTGTAGTGATGCAAGGTACTAGAGCACAGGAGCCCTAAAAGTTTGCAAGTGATATGAACTTTAAGGCATGAATGGAGTTTATGGAAGCCCCAGTCTAAGCAGCCAAACCAATATAAGCCAGACCCACACAGGAGTGGGACCACTTATGTTAGTACAGCGCAGAGAAGCTACTCCTCTAAATGATCTGCATTCACTTGTCCTTGAGGATAAACAATTGCACCTACCTCTAAATAGTAATGAACCCCTTGATGCTTCTTAAACTCACATTCTGATAAAATGAAAAATGAGTCTTTTAAAGCAACCAACAGAAAGTTTTTGAGCTCTGCCTTGGGAGGGGGTGGGGAATCCATTGAGATACTTACAGTAAGATTTCCAAACAGGTGGTCTGTATTCATCAGTATCTGAAAGAAAAATGACAAATCTTAATGTTGTGTTAGAAACATTTTAACACAGAAATAACCCTGCAGAAGCACTTGCTGATTTATTAAGACAAATATTGCACTTAGGTTCTAAAATTATTTTTTACTATCAGAGTATAGAACAGCCTGTTAAAAGTTCCCCCCTTCTTTACTTAAACTGAAAATATGAAAAGGTATTTTCTTTAGCCAGCTAGAATAAAAACTATAGCAGAAGTCAAAATACTGGGGGGGGGGAACGCATATTTTTTTAATATGTATAGATCCTTAAGTTCCCTTTTAAATTACACTAGAAAGATGAAAAAAATCTCAATCTATACTCCAATAAATCAGTTTTCAACCAGCTTATTCCCACCATTAGCTTTTTCCTCTTTGGGATAGCAAATAACTCCTCCTAAAATAAAATCAGAGTATGTAAGTGCTATGAAATATTTTGCAAAAAGGGAGGATTTTTTTCATACTGAGTACAAACTGTACTTGGAAGCAGTCAGTACATATTAAAAGCACCAGCATATTTTTAATCCTGAATTTTATTTCTCAAATAAAATAAATTTTAAAAAAATCCCAGTGTATTCTAAGTTCTGTCTCCCTTATGAGTTGCTGACAACTGATCTGACATTTTGAGCTCAGGGCTCTGTTGCAAACCTTGTCTCTGATCCACTGTTTTACCACCCTGACCAGCTCCAGTTCTTATGCTACAAGGTACGGAGGCTTTCTGCAAGACGCTGTGCTTATCTGCCTTGGAGCTGGTGGGAGTTACTCAGTACTCATTACACCACAGGGTCACAAGTTGAGACAACCATGCAGCCAGCCTTGCTGTTTGGAGCCTCTTCTCACTGCAGCATTCATGTCTGAGCTCTGTTTGCAATTGCCTGCTCGCTGGGCTGGAACTACCTGCTGCATCCAACAAAACCCCAATTTCTCGTTTTTATTATGAGGTTATGTGAAGATCAAGCAATCTGGGAACCTGTCGCTTGAATTTTGGCCTGAGTGGCATCTCCGCTTGAGAGTTCTTAAAGTCTCCAAAGCCGAGCCTGAAGCTGGGAAAGGATTTTGGTTTGCCTCCCCTTAGGACAAGCAATCTGCCGCCTTCAGATACTTGCTTTAGTCCATCTCTCCCACCTACAGTCACGTCAAAAAATCTCTAAATTAGAGCTTAGTGGAATAAGATCTTTTCCACAGTTCAATTGGCACAGACTTGCCCAGACCCACCCAGCACGCTCTCTGCCCTGCCTAGGCTACCATTTTGCTTTTTTTTTTTTCCCATGTATTTTAGTGCTACGCATGATGAGGGGGCAGTCTTTACGGACTACCTCAGTAGTCATGGGTTTTATAAATACAATTCATTACGACTTTATTATTAAAGCAGCACTTTAATAATAAAACTGCCATCCCCCAGAATACAATGGCTTTTGATCTTTGGATGGTCCTGCAGATACACTACTGCGTCCTGGGGATCGGCCAGAGACAACTGCACAGAGACCTTCAGCGGCCAGTGCTCTACTACGGCAGTGAAAGAAAACCAGCAGCAACAGATGCAGCCATGGTTGTTCATGCCTACTTTGATACCTTTAATTAAGGCAGTGCAAGTCGATTCATTCCAGAAGCATTGTAATGTGATCCCTTAGCACTGCAATGTCACATGGAAAAAGGGCAAGACTTGTAAGTAAAAATAACGAGCTGAGTCCCAGAAGACAATTCCTACCCCGCTAGCTGAATTTTCTTTTGCTATAGTCTTTTTTTGGCAATATGTGCACCAGTTGGATTTACAAATAAATAATTTAAGGAAAACACGCACTGTATTTGTAAAATATGAGCTGACTGTTATGAAAATACAAATATCTTGGCAGTCTAACCTATACTTGCTCGCACTCAGGCCATATAATTGTTACAACTAAGGGCAGCATGATCATAAAACCGAAAAGCAACAATATTTGTGCCAAACAAAAAACCCCAAACCTTGTTAAAGTCAGGCAAGAACAGCAGTAACTTTCATACAACAAACATTTAACATTCAGAAATTGGAAGGAATGATTTATGTTATGCAGCTGTGCACAAGGATTTTGTTAGAAAATCTGTCGGTGAGCTTTACTGCATTTACAGTGTGAGAATACCCTCTGGCCATCCTACATGAGGTAATGAAAAAACAAAAGGTCATTTCTATTGTGATTTAAAAGAAAAAAAAGTTATCTGATATAAAATACTGTAGCAGCAAGTACAGTGCAGTAACAATGGTGAAGCAAAGGGTCTTCAGTGTTTGTTTCTGTGCAAGAATGTTTCTATTACTAAAACCACCCCACTACACAAAGATAAAATAGAATAAGCATAAACATCAGACTCATCTGTTAGTTACCTGTTTTTAAAGATTAATCAATGTAGTCCCATTTAACACATCATCAGTATTTTGAAATGCATTATTAGGAAAAGGATTTGATTTTCAGATGGTGCAAGCTTCCACGTACAGCATCTTCAATTAGGCATCCAAAGTACCCGAAAAGCACTTTAAGGCACGATAAAAAACCCACAGAAAATGCTGAACCCAAAATACATTTTGTCGCTAATGCTGCACCACTTTCTAATTAACGCAATAAACCTTACTCTGTCAGTTCTCAGATTTTTCTACAGCTCCCATCAGCACACTATCTCAGCTCTGCTAAATGTTTCTGTGATAAAATCGTTTTCTACAAGCTGTGCATCATGTTTTATCTTAACTGTATTTTCTGCCTTAAGTGAGATGCAATTCAGCTTATAGCTGCTCTTCTCCAAAGGTCTAGGGCACTACAGAAAACATTAAGGCATAAACTGATGCTATCAGCTCTGTCCAGATGTGATCCTACCAGCATTGGTGAGACTTTTGCCAGCATGAGGGCACTCCCATTGGCAAGGAGATTTTAGATCAGGCACACTGTCCATGTACATGAATTGCAATTTCAAACTGAGACCAGTTTCAAGCTGACAGATGCTGGTGCTGAATAGTCTTTCTAACCTTTAAAAGTGAAAATGTTTGATCATTTTCCATTATCCCAAGCAATGGCAGTTTTTTTAACTCTTCAGAATTTTGCTCTGATTAGAAGGGTATATGTATAAGATTTTATTTTTACATATTATAACAGGACTCCCTAAATTTCTCTACTCTGAATCCATACTGATATCTAATAATTTTCCACCCTGAAAAAGATCAAAAAGAAACAGCTGTCTGCCCCAAATCTGTACTTTCAAGCTCCTAAATAGACCTGTCATATTATAAATATGTATGTATGTGTAAAGAAAAGAGTAAGAGTATCTTAAACTGCTGCATCACTTGAAATCCCACTGAGACCCAAAACTATATGCAAGGTTAAGGGGTGGGGGAGAAACAATTCTGCAGGACACATGAAAATACATTTAGAGACCTTTACCCTGTAGAATCAATTTTTGCTCTCGAACCCATAGCAAAATCAAACTTGTCTTTGAAGCAAGCACCTTATCACAGATGCATAAGAGCTGGTGCCTCTAATTTAGGCATGGACCTGCATTTCGTACATACCCTATGTGATGGGTTGCATGTCTCTGCTTCTCCAAGGGCAAGGGTTTGCCAGCCCACCTCTCTCCCTCTCTCCAATGGACAAGGACAGGAGTGATTCCTAACTATTTCTTAAACAATTCTCAGCACTTTCTTGCCATCATCTCCTTTCCTCCCAAACACACCCTCCTCCTCCTCTCTTTTCCAGGACTTTGGTCTCTCCCAGCCTTCACAATCTTCATCTGCACACAAGACCTCTCCCGTCATCCTGGAGCAACACTTTGGTTTGCTCCCCACTGCTGTCCTGCTAGGACTCACCTACCCAGCCCACTCTTATCTGTTTCTCTACTCAAGGCTTCTTTGAAATTTGCCTAAACACAGAGAAAACAGAGGCAGAAAAGCCCAGAACAGCACAACAGGCAGGTTCTGGCAACAGCCCCTTTACAGGCAGAAATGTCAGCGAGGCAGGAGCATTGCTTTCCGGGCCCAGCATGCCCTCCTTTAAGCATACAAATTAATGAAACAAAAAGGAAACTATGCATCTTAGGCATGAACCATCTGCAATTAAGAAGTGAAAAGCACAGAATTATCATCAGAAATACATGCTTGCACAGAAAAGGACTTCTGCCAATAGAAAATCATATAGCCATTTAGGAAAAGTTCATATACAGACACAAACACTAGGAGAGCATCTCAGATTTTTCCATAAACTCAAATGTGACTAACTGTGACATTACAATGTAGCATTTCTCTTCATTATTTTCCTTCTTTCTTACCCATTTCCATTTTAACCCTTATATAAATCTGGACAACTGTAGTAGCTTCAGAGCATACATTTTAACTGCAGATATGAAAACTGTTACTATTGCCTCAAACTGTTTAGACTGCTTGTCTCTGTGTATTCCTTTTATAGAAAGGATAAAAATGTTTACCTCTGCTTGAAATGGTTCTTTCTCTCTCCCCACTGCAGATCAGCCAGCTCTAGGGTAGAACAGCAGCAGCTTAACTACGTATTGGAACCCCATAAAGCAATTTAGGACTTACTGTGAGGTTTCCTGTAGAGAATTCAGTTTTATTTTGCTTTTACTGGACATCATTCCCTGCAGCACAGTGATCTGTAGCATCATGCTGGAGATTAGTTTAACACTGTCTGGGAGGAAATAATCAGCTATCTGCTGACACAGCAGCTCTTGCTCCAGACTTTGATTTTATTTAGCAACATCCCTATTGAACACAGGTGAGGCCTCAGGTGGTGAACCTTGTGGAAGAGGCCAGCTCTTAGGCATGTGGACCAAACATCAACATGATCAGGAGAAGAAAATCCAATTTCATGTTTTCTGAACCAATCTACAACCAAGGAATGGTGTAAGTCATAAATATGAAAAGATGAAAGAAAGTATAAAACATTCTTCTGTAAGCTATGGCCTTAGCACTAACCAGTAAGCGTTAACATGTGTTTTAAGATGCTAATCTTGCTTTGTTT